CTCTGGTCTGGCCTGACTCTCAAGGCAAAGAATGGAGAGAAGCCCCACACAATGAAAGGTGACCCTTAATACCACACACTTGCCACGGAAGCAGAGGTATGATCCCGCCATGGTCTCCACGCAGGAGAAACCCAGGGTCAGTTTGTTTCAGAGCAGACAGGGTTCAACACCACTAGACCACGATATTTAAAAAAAAAAAAGGAGATCTGACACATGCTCCAACATGGATCAACCTTAAAGACATTATGCTAAGTGAAATAAGCCAGACACGGAAGGACAAATACTGTGTGACTCCACTTATATGAGTTACACCTAGAGTCGTCAGAATCATGGAGACAGGAAGTAGAAAGGGGCTGCCACCTGAGACCATCTTTTTGCCTGGCTTCTGGAGGGAAAAGGAAGAGAACATGAAAGCAAGAGACCAGACTGCCCACAGCTCACCAGGTCCAGTCCCAACGCAGAGCCCCAAAGCCTCACGGCCCAGCATGCTCCACCCACAACTTGGCCCCGCTTCCCCACCGGACTTGCTCTTCTCTGAGAAAGCCTCCTAATGACCTCTGGGATCTGATGAAATCAGTACCTTAGCTTTACATCGGTCCCCAAAAGCTCAAAGAGAGGTGGCAGAATTTGGTACAAAATGGGCAGATTACAGAAGAAGAAACAACAGCAGAGGAGAGAGGGAGCAGTTTGGGTTTTTAGATTCTTTACTCCGTTCACTCCTGAAAAACCAGCGGCCCAGCCAAACTGCTCAGGCTCCCACTTGTCTGTGAGGCTGCCCCGAGCCCACCTCACCTCAGCTTGCGTTTGGGAACTTTCTTTTCCTTTTTTGGGAAATTCGCCTCTCTTCCACACCCACCAGTTACAGGGTACGTGGGTGTATCGAGAAAGAAATTTCCCAAAAAAGGAAAAGTGATTCCCAGAGGTTAGCCCCATCTCAGAGCTGCCTGGAAGAGAAAGGCAGTAGTCAGCCCCTGGAGCCGGACTTAGGCCTGAAGGCTCCAGACCTAGCAGAAGTCTCTGAGCATAAAAGCCTGTCGAAGCAGCCCTCAAGGCGGGCACTGACCCAGGGACTGCAGCCCTCCTCCTCCTCCCGGGAACTCCTGACAACTGCCGTACCCATGTTGGTCCCAGCTGAGGGGGCCCGGGACAACCTTACCCACTCTGCTCTCTGGAGCCTTCTGGAGGGACAAGTAAGAGCTACAACACACAACATACCTAATCCCTCTCCAGGAAACACCCCAGGTCTCACCTTCTCCCCACACTGAGAGCAGAAACTCTACAGCAACACATTTACGAAGTTGGTTAGTTCAACTCAACAAATATTTACTAGGTCTGTGCCACCCAAGCCCCAGGCCAGACAAGGCAGAGAGATACCAAGAACTATCAGGAAGCCCAACAATGAAAAAAAAAAAAAAAGTTGCAATCTAGTTGGTAAGATAACATTTAAACCAATGAAAACAAATAGCAATATTTTTCAAAAGTTAAGTAACAATTTGAAACAGACTGTGACTAAGTATTAAGGGAACAGCCCAGCCATAAAATGCTGTAATGTATTACATGCGGTAGATGAGCTCGGAAGCACTTGGGGGCGGGTGCGGCGCTCTGCAGGAGGGGAGGATCAGCAGGGGCTACGGGCTGCGCAGAGCTGCGGCTCTTGGAGACCGACACCAAGATGGGGCCGGTATACAGCATGGTGCTCTGAGCACAGCACAGGAAGTGGGACCTATATGCTCCCCAGGTAAGAGCCACACACATAAGCAATTCCGCTAGCCCCGCGGTCACCTGATGTGCAGGGACACCCCACAGAAGCCCCTCCACGCCAGGAACAGGCCTACCCCTATTCCACACCTGGCACTTCACCACACCAGCCAGCTGGCTAACCCTGCCCCTTCACCTCCCTCACGGCCAGGGAATCAGACAGGTGAGTCCTTCCACACCTTAAGAATCACGGTGAAAAGAAATCAAGTCAAACTTATATTTTAATTTTTAAAAATTAACAAAAAAAATTAAATAAGCCACTGACCAGATCACAAAGGGTTTCTCAGCCTCAGCACCGTTGCCATCTGGGGCCAGATCATTCCATTGTGAGGCCTGTCCTGTGCATCACGGCACTCCTGGCCTCCACCCGTAGGTGCCCAGAGCAACCTCCTTCACCCCTGCACAGTTGTGAGAGTCAAAGAAGGCTCCAGACACTGCCAGGTGGCCCCGGGAAGCATAGTGGTGCCCAGCTGAGGACCGTAGAGTCTAGGTTCTTTCAGAGCACACTCTTAGCACGGCTGCATTCGGTTCCCACATGAGCCTGTCTGAAAAGCTCTCCCGCTCCACGTCTCAGGACCCTGCAGGCCAGGAAGAGGCAGGCGTCTAGGCACCAGGAAAGCTGACCTCTGGGTTGGAGCTCCAGGAGGCTGGACTGCGCTCATCCAGGAAGTGGCGAGGAAGAACAAGGCCCGAAATAGACCCCCGGGGTGGGAGAGGCCCCTCCAGAGTCCACCTGCAAGGCCCAGGGCAGTGGGTGCCAAGGCTGACCCAGGCAGCGGGCATCGGACTGCACCCGTCACCCAGCCCCTTCTCAACTGCAGCCCAGATGCCGCCTTGCAGCTTTCCCCACAGGACTTTCCTAACACAACGGGGAAAACTGTCACAGGCCTGAAATGTTGCTTTACAGGTATTTCACTGCAACTGCCACTGTCTTTTCCCTCCCAGAAATAATGCCGCTCTGCTCCCTGGAGCTGCAGTGCATGTGCACCGCCTGCAGCCCGGGCGTTCCGATGGCAACTGGCACACCAAGTCAGTCTCTTCAGCTCCAAGGTCATCTGCCAGAAAGTGGCCCATGGCCCAAAACTCTCCACTCTGGGCATCCCCCACAATGCCCTCTCTGTACTCCGAGTTTTTCCTGGGGCTTCTTCTCCCACATCGCTGGCACAGTCCCACCTCTGCCCCAGCAGCACATGAAATAATATCCAACCAACATTCAGGTTGCTGGGAGACCAAAATGTACTGCAAGGTGTCAGGACTCATGGCTCAACACCCCAATTACTTAGGAGCCGCTCTTGGGATGCAGCGTGTGTTCTGCGTTTGTGCAGTAGCCCCCCTCTCTTTGTGCTTGTGCAACTGAGCTGAAGGGAACAAAAGACTGTACTGGACTCCAGTTAGACCTGAAGAAACACTTCCTGGCCAGAATAATCGGTCTCCAAGGAAAGTCCAGGGAACTCTATTTTTCGGGAAGGCTCATGGTCCAGCCCAGCCTGGATGTAATCCAGTGACCTCTGAGGCTCCTTCTCTACTGTTCGTCTCTGCAGGACTTAAGAACCAGTCAGCCGGGCACAGGGAGGACAAAGTAAACTTCAAGGCTTGGAGGAGCCCAACTCCCACCCAGGGTCACCATTTGTATGATGGCCAAGTTGGGAGAACACAGAGGGCAGTGCTGGGTCTGCCTCCAGGCCTGCTTCCTTTCCCTGAAGGAATGGGTGTCCTGGTGAATCAGTCCCCTTGCTCCTATTTCTAGTGAATTCTACCAACCCACTGGTGCTCACCTCCAATCTACTCTGGACCACAGATGCTTCCATGGCAAAAACCCTTGTGGCCTATCACACTGTATAAATATACTCACCAGGAAGAATGAGAAAGAAGAAAATTATTTTTAAGAAGGAACCAATGAGGTGATAGTTGAGGTAGAACTATCACATCTATTAATTCCATACCTAAACGTCATACCCATTAATTCATCTGAGAAACGCAGTAGAGTTCGAAGCATCACATCACCAAGACTAGGACCCCCTGTGGGAATGGACTCGCTTGTGGCCTGTTCACACAGCTGTAATGACCACCCTAAAATCCAAGTGTCGCAACAGTCTATGACTGTCCTCGGAGAGGACAGTTATTTCTGCACACACTTCCAGAACCCTGCTCTCACTCCTGTAGCAAAACAATAAACTCTGGATGGGATGGGGTCAACCTATTTTACACGCTATGTCTAGATTTTCTAGGACAGTCCCAATTAAAAATGCTGCCTACATAAATGCACACACACACTCACAGACTCAAACAGAACAGGAAAAGGTGCTTAAATCTTCCATCTTTGTTCCTTTAAAAAGCTCAGAATTTGGGGCACCTGGGTGGCTCAGTCGTTGAGCGTCTGCCTTCGGCTCAGGTCATGATCCCAGGTTCCTGGGATCGAGCCCTGCATCGGGCTCCCTGCTCAGCGGGAAGCCTGCTTCTCCCTCTCCCACTCCCCCTGCTTGTGTTCCCTCTCTCGCTGTCACTCTCTCTGTCAAATAAATAAATAAAAGCTTTAAAATAAATAAATAAAAAATAAAAAGCTTAGAATTTGGTCCTACTTTAGATTAGTTAGGGGAGACCAATCTCCTTTAGAGGAAAAACTCAGGAGGCAAAATGGAAAGAACAAGAAAAGCCAGAACATTCCCCCTGGTTGGTTTTCAGGTTCACCTCTGGACCAAGAACAGTAGACACTCGTCCAGCCCAGGAAGCAGGGAGCAAACCAGGTGGGTGGCAGGGCAGGAAGGAGCCATACACCCTGGCTTAGTGGCCAGGAGGCCTCTGAAGGTCCAACAGGATGAGCGAGACCACCTGCAGCAATGGAACTGAGAGGCGGTCCCGGGACTATAGCACGGGAACGCGCATGTGCTCGACTTCCACACATGCCCCAGGCCAGCCCCCCACCTGCCGCTGCAGGCCCACACCCCGTTCTGCTTCTAAGTAGGAGTGCTCTGGCTAAGTGTGACTCCTGGCAGCCCGGAACGGAAGTGCCTTTCTCCCTCACTACTTACTCTCACCTGTCACCACTAACGACGCCACAAACCAAAGGTCTGAGTTTTCAGAGCCACCTCTACCAGACGCCACAAGTTCTTCAAAGTCCAGGCTCCCGAAAGAAGGCCAAGCGAGAGCATATGCTGCTGTTGTTACAGACGACACACATGCAGACACAAAGAAGGGGCCTCAGGGAGGCTGGAGTCAGGGCGGAGAGGCAGCAGGACACTCACCATCTCGTCCAAGGCATAGCGCAAGAGGCCGTGCTCGTAGAGGATGAAGAACCGCCGCTGCCATTTCTGCAATGGAGCACAGAGTGGGTGGTTAGGGCGGCTCTGGCCCCGATCTCCCCTCGCCACGTCCCCGGGTCTCACAAATCTATGTCAAAGCAATGCGGGCTCCACAGCTTCCATTTCTGGGGCATATGGCCGGAAAAGAGGGACCCAAGGCAAAAGAGCAGTAATCTGTTAGATGGCCCTGGGCCAGGGGAGAGACCCAAGCCACCCAGTGTTTTTCCACATGAGTTACTAAGATTTCACAGGATGCCTGTTTATTTTAATTGGCAAGCTCCTGAAGAGCAGAGATGGTATCCTGGTTCCCTTTTTGCATTCTCTATGTACCCAGCACAGAGATGCTCACATAACGTGTGCTGATATTTCTTTGATGAACTGTACGGCACAATATGGAATAACCTGAGAACAGTAGGCACTGATTCCCCGCTTCTGACAAAATCGAGGAAACTGCTATAAAAGGGTTGTTCTGATGACCCACAGGGAGTGGGAGACAGGGAAAAAGACAGCCAGGCTCCAGTGTTCACTGAGGATGAGCAAGCTAAGAAAAATCAAAACTGAGAAGGAGGGAGTCCTGTGGGAATGACTCTGATGTCCAAGGAGTGATCGACCAGCAAAGGGCGCCCCTCTACTCTACCCACAGGACAGGCCGCTGGGGGCCAGAGGGCCCCAAAGGCACTGACAACAGAAGGGAACACGAGAGTATGCGCTTTCCCTTTTGTGGGGGGAAAATATGTCCCGAACAAGAGACTCTTGGTCCCCGAATCCCAAAGCAAAGATCATCATGAGGATCCATGACCTATTTTCAACAGCTCAAAAAGCCCAGCAAAATTCATACTTTCACTGGCAATAAGCCACAAGAACTAACTATCACATCTCTTTGCTTTGGGCCAGGATTATATCATTCATAATAATGTTTTTCCCATCAGAAGCTGGAAATGGCAATTCTGTATGACCCAAATATAGAACAGGAAAGGGAGCTGCTCCCTGGTTACTGCAGGCATTGGAATACAGTCAGCCCTGCCGTCCTCCTGCCTGGATGGCAGGAACAGGATGCTCAGATAGCCTTGCGAAGAGGACCTGAAGACGGCTGGTTCCACGATGGGCGTCCAGGGAGAGGCCACTTGAAGTCTTCCTGAGAAACATTTTCAAGGCTCCTTTAATTAAAGTCAAAACCCATACCAGACGTAATCCTAAAGATCCCAGACATGATACAAGGTCTGTGGGGCACCACAGCCCCCACTCTAGACTGCAGCATTCAGGCCAGGGGCAGAAGAGATCAAGAGGCAAAGAAGAGGCTCTCGGAGCAGGGGATGGGAATGGAGAGGAGCTGGAGCAATTTACAGGGTATGGGCGGCAGCACCTGGAAAAATCATGTGGAAAAGAAAAGATGGGTGTTTTAACTGGAGTCATCCAAAGGGGTTCCCTGGTAGAGGAACAAACCACTGGTTAGGGACAATGTCGGTTTAATCATCTCGATGCTCCAGGTCAGACTGGGCTGCTCCCAGCAACCTGCGCACAGCAGGGACCCACCCTGGGCTGGGGTGCCCAAGAGAGATGGGGGGAAAGCAGGGTTGGCACTCCAGTCCGTCACCCCTTCACTAGTGCTCATTTGCTGAGCCCCTAGCCAGGGAGGACTGGAAGGAAGAGAGATGGGATGAGGAAGGGAGGGAATGAGGGAACTGGAAGCCTAATTAGCATAATGCAAATGTTCGCTGAACTGCTCTTCTGCCTTTTACATTGAACTGTTTCTGCAGTCAAGCTGACCCACGAAAACAGGAGGCACCATGTGAGAGCATCTCCTTTTAAAGAGTGGACCTGGCACAACTAGTATCATCGAGACTTTTCCTGTAGGACCGACGAGTTTGCCAAATGGGGGTTCCCTGCTGATCCTGCCATGCCAGGATCCACTGTTCCAACTCCCCATCTCCCTCTTCCACTTGGTCGACTTGCCCTTAGATGGGCACCTCTGCAGTCCCTCCCACCTCAAGAATTCATTCTGAGGACCTTACCCGAGACCGATGCACTGGGTTGTCAAAGTCAGTCCCATCTGGAGCCAGGAGCAGCCAGCCACCATAAATAGGTTTTGCCTGGAGGAGAAAAAAGAGGGCAGGTCATCAGTGGCCTTGGACCAGAGAGAGGACAGGTTCAATGGTCAAGTTAAAGATCAGTGCTCCCTGGAAACAGAAGTCACCTCTATTTAGCACACATCAGGCATCTCATTCCCCAGCCAAAGGCTGAGTCTCCCAAGAAAGATGTTTGGGAGTAAGAGGCTCCTGGGGGGGTCTGCAGCAACTGGTGTGGAGATGGGGACACAGAATGCAGTGTGACTCTGAGAAACTGCGAAGTACAGGAACTCCTACGACACAGACGCCTCCTTCAAGTTCCTGATCAAGCCCCGAAGATCAGGAAACAATGGCATTTCCAATCACCATGTGAGTACCCACCACTGTGTGCTGGGTACTACGTATATCATGCAAACAGAGTCAAAAGCCCTCATTCTGATATACAAAACAGGGCCTGGGAGAAGAGACACTGTTTTATTAGTGATCATAGCTAGCAATGGCCAAAGAATCATCAACATCCTGGCTCTGTGACGTTGGGCTGAAAACCATGTGGTTGAGTTTCAACTGTCCCATCTGAAAGGTGGGGGTGACGGTAATCGTATCTACACCTCATGAGACTTATGTGAGGATTGATGAGTTAATCCAAGTAAAACACAGCACAGGAATATAAAATGGTGCAGCCGCCGTGGAAAAGTCTGGCACTTCCTCAAAGAGTTAAACACAGAATTCCACTCAACCCAGAGCTCCACTCCCAGGTATATACACCTGAGAAGACTGAAAGCAGGTGCTCAAATAAAAACCTGGACCTGAATGTTCACAGCAGCACTGTTCCCAATCGCCAAAAGGTAGAAACAGTCCCAATGTACATCAACAGATGAGAGGAGAAGCAAAATGTGGCACATCCATTCAACAGAATATTATCAGCCATAAAAAGGCACCAAGTCCTGGCACGATCTACTACATGGACAAACCCTGAAGATATCACCCTGAGTGAGAGAACATAAGACACCAAAGACCATATACTGTAAATCCACAGAAACAGAAAGCAGATTAGTGGTTGCCAGGACATGGAGGGAATGGGAAACAGGGAACGACTGCTAACGGGTATGGGGTTTCTTGGTGGGATGATGAAAATGCTCTGGAATTACAAAGTGCAGATGGTCGAATGACCTTGTGAATATGCTAAAAGCCACTAAATTGTACACTTTAAGAGGTTGAATTTTATAGTTTGTAAATTATATCTCAAACGTTTGAGGAAAAAAACATTAAGCACAGTGTTTGGCCTCTAAGTGCATAATAAATGTTAGCTGTTAAATTTTTTTTTTTTTTAATGAAGAGTCCCCCATCCCCCAAGACCTTGACAGTAGGAGCTCAACAGGAGTTGAGACACTAGACAGACACTCTGGCTCCACCTTCCTTTTCAGCCATACCCAGCTGGTGAGAAGCTGCTGGAAAAGTCACAACCAAGCCAATTTGTCCACTACCCTTTGGAGGGCAGTAACACAAATTAAAACCCAAATCCTCTGCCTGCTGTTTACATTACTCATCTCTGGGAAAGGATTAGGGTCCTCTTACCATGCTTTTTATTCAACACTTTCCAAATTGGAGCCCTGTCACACCACTTCATTTTATAGCTGTGGAATCTGTGACTCAGAGAGGGAAGGTCACTTGCCAGAGGTCACACAGCATTCTGGGGTAAGCCAAGAACACTCCTTTTTCTTGGCTTCTGCAGGGTCCTCTAGGCCCCCAGGGGGAAGCTCTGGTTTTTCCCCATGAAAGTGAACAGAGTAGTAGGAGCTTCAGGCAAGGGGTATGAGGGGGCTGAGGAAAGGAAGTGAGGGACTGGTTTTGATGAAACACGGGAGGTGGGTGCTGGCAGGGAACTTGGGGTTAGAGGGACATGACGCAGGAGGGCCATGGGGGATGTAGAATGAAATTCTGTCTCGGAAAACAGAAGTAAAGAGAGTAAGGTTTGTTTTCTCAACAAATACCAGCCCGGTGGCGCCCAGCCATTCCCCGAGCAGGGAAGCACACTCACTCAGCGGGCTCTCTCACATCACTCAGTGACATACGTACACAAGATGGAAAGGTGAGGGCCAGGGGATGATTCTGGGCCAGGTGACTTCCCCACTTCACCTCTTAGTTTTCAGTTCCCGAGGTGTGAAATCAGGAGGTTAGACAACAAGGCCGTGTCTCCTCCGTTTCTGTCTAGCGTGATTGTATGCTACTCTCCTGGTCTCTGGCCACAGGGCTTTGGGGAGACTTCATATTAGCAGCTACATCTACCTAATCTTTCTCCAAAAGGAGTGGTTGGAGAAGTGAGGGGCTGATACAGGTCCCCTCAGAACCCACCACCCATCATGAGCACTGTTACTGACCCAACATCTACTCAGGCCTAGTGTGTGCAGGCCCCATGTGCTGCAAACCAGGGGGGGCTGCCAGCACCCACCTCACTTTGCCAGATCCTTCTTGGAAACACCACCCCAAAGGGGACCCTTCCAGGTGGGCAGGTTGTCCTGAAAAGTGGGAAGGCTGGGCCGGGGGGGGGCACAGGGCAAGAAACAAGTGCTCTAGGGGCGCATGGGTGGCTCAGTCAGTTAGGTGTTTGCCCTTAACTCAGGTCTTGATCCCAGGGTCCTAGGATTGGGATCAATCCCTGTTCAGTAGGGAGCTTGCTTCTCCCTCTGCCTGCAGCTCCCCCTGCTTGTGCTCACTCGCTCTGTCAAATAAATAAATAAATAAATAAACTCAGCCTTCCCTCACAAATCCAATAAACCAGAGGCTGCGCTTCTGGCTGGTCTCTGGGAAGAAGCTGCTGGTGGTCCCGGTGTCTTCCTCAACTGAAAGTCCTTTCAAAAATGGTTACTTGAAACTTCTGCTTCGGGAAGATAGGTAGACATAATTTTCCTTATTCCTCCTACTAAGTACAAATCAAACCTCAGACACTGTATATAATAAAAACCTAAGGAGACTCTGCAAGGTGGAGAGAAAAGGGCTGGGGATCCCGAGACCTGAAAAAAACATGGAGATGTGCACCCTGGCTTCCCTTTTTGTCTCACTGTCCCAGACTAGGTACTGGAAGAACGAGCAACCTGGAAGTGCCAACAGGGACAAATAAAAGCCCCAATAAAAACTGCTCTCTCTAGCTGAAGAACCAGGGAAGGAACAACCTGGTAAGACAAAACATTCTTATATGGTAACTGCTCTATTCCTGCCAGACATGACAGGAAAGACTCAGCTCCAGCCCCACCCATGCCAGCAAAGGCTTCCTTCCTACCCTTGCCAGCTAAGAGGTGCCCCAGCACCCCTACCAGGAAGGTGTCGGGAGGCCAGGTAGGGAGCTGGGATTTTTGCCGCCCACTCCAAAGTAACAAGGTCCCTCTCCCTCTCCCTGCTGGGATAGAGTCAGAGGAAGACATGGGGGGAGCTGAACTCTCACCCCTGCTCCGAAGTAACAAGGAACCTCCCCCGTCAGGTGGCAGTGGAGGCCAAGTGGGCAGCCTGGACTTCTACTTCCACCTGAAAGTAAAAGATGGTGGCCCTCCCCCGCCCCCCTACCCCCACTGGAGTAGTGTCAGAGAAAGCCGACTAGAAAAGAAGGGTCAAACACAATCCACAGTCACCTAAAATAACACCAAATATCCAAATTTCAATCAAAAAAATCACCAGCATAGTAAGAACCAGAAAGATCACAAACTGAATAAACAAAGACAATCAACAGATGTCAACACCAAGGTGACAGCCATGTCAGAATTATCTGATGAAGCAGCAATGCTGAAATGTTTCAACAAGAAATTATAAACATGCTTGGAATAAGTGGAAACACAGAAGGGCCCAGTAAAAAAACAAAACAAACAAAAAACAACCAGGAGATATAAAAACCAAATGGAAATTTTAAAACTGAAAAATACAATAAATGAAATAAAAAGATGATTGGATGGACCCAACAGCAGAATGATGGGAACCACAAGGAAAGAATCAGTGAACTGGAAGAAAAGTAATAGAAATTACCCAATCAGGGGCACCTGGGTGGCTCAGTCTTAAGCATCTGCCTTCAGCTCAGGTCATGATCCCAGGGTCCTGGGATCGAGCCCCACTTTGGGGTCCCTGCTCATCGGGGAGCCAACTTCTCCCTCTCCCACTCCCCCTGCTTGTGTGCTCGCTCGCTCTCTGTCAAATAAATAAATAAAACCTTAAAAAAAAAATGAAAGAAATTACCCAATCAGGCAACAGAGAGAAAACAGACTAAAAGAAATAATAAGAGAAAAACAGAGTCTTAGAGACCTGTAGAACAATACAAAAGATCTATCATCTGTGTCATCAGACTCCTAGAAAGAGAAAAGGAGAGTTGGGTAGAAAAAGCACTTGAATAAACAATGGCTGAAAACTTCCCAAATTTGGCAAGAAAGGCAACCTACAAATTCAAGAAGCTGAGTACACTCCAAAGGATAAATCCAAAGAAATCTACACCAAGACACATCAAAATTAAATTTCTGAAAACTAAAGACAATCTACAAACTCTTGAAAACAGCCAAAGAAAAGTAACAGCTTATGGATAGGAGAAAACCAAATATGACAACAGTGGATTTCTCATCAGGAACCTTAGAGGCCAGAGGCAAGTGGTACAATACTTTTCAGGCACTGAAAGGAAACCGTCAATCCAGAATCCTATACCCAGAGAAAATATCCTTCAGAAATGAAAGTGAAATCTCAGATGAGTTCCTCAAAAAATTAAAAACAGAACTACCCTACAATCCAGGAATTTTACCCCAAAATTAGAAAACCCCCAATTCAAAGGGATACCTGAACCCCTATGTTTACTGCAGCATTATTTACAATAGCCAAACTATGGAAGCAACCCAAGTGTCCACTGACATACGAATGGATCAAGAAATGTGATATTTATGTACAATGGAATATTACTCAGCCATAAAAAAGAATGAAATCTTGCCATTTGTAACAACATGGATGGACCTAGGGAGTATAATGCTAAGTGAAATGTCAGAAAAACACAAATACCACCT